CGACGCATGCTCGGCGGCGCCCAGGCCCTCGCGTGGTGGGAGGGGGCGCCCAGCGCGGGGATGTCGAGGAGCTCGAAGCTGGTGCTGGGCCTCTCGGTGGTGCTGACGGCGGCCACCGTGGTCGGCGTGCATCTGAACCAGCGGCAGGACCGGCAGGTCGGTGTCACGTGACGGTCTCTTCCGGGCCCGGCGGCGGCGGCGGCCTTGGGGGTCTCCGGTCTCCCCGCGTGGTTTCCCGCTGGTCCTGGTCTTTCCTTCTCTCCCGTCCTCGCCCCCGCGGCGGCGCGGCCCGGCACCCGCACACTTACCCACGCGTCGCGGGCTCGGCCCGGGGCGCTGCAGACCCCCACCCCCGGCCGTGTGCGCCCTCGTGGTCCCGGCCACCCTCCCGCCCGCGGGCGCCTGGGAGCCCGGCCCTCGGCGCTGAAGTTTGGCTCCGCGAACGCACGCCCGTGGGGTGGAGAGCGGCCCCGTTTCCTAGTGGCCGCCAGCCGGCAGCCACTGAAAGACACGACCTTTCAGAATGTCACTGGGGCCGCAGGAGGTGGAGGAGGGGAGGCGTTTCCTTGGGGTGCGCTCAGCAGGTTATGTATGGCCTCTCTCCACCCCCGGGCCCGCGGTTGGTCCTGCGGTGTTTAAATGCTAATAAGACTTTATCCCACGATAAAGAAGCTTTCCTGCATCCGCCTTCGTGCCTTTGGCCTAGGTAATTTGGTGAGATGCTTGTATGTTCTGTTGGTTTTTTTTATCCTTATTGTTGAAAGCAATACACGTGTCCCTTTTCTCCCCTATTGACCCCTTCTAGCCCGTCCCTGCCCCCCCCTCCCCCCCCGCCCCCGGCCTTCGCCTCACTATTGTCTGTGTCCATGGGAGATGTATGTATATGTATGTATGTATGTATGTGTGTATACATACACACATATATACACACACAAGTTCTAGGTTGATCTCCATGAAAACTAGATTCTGTGAACGTTAACGATGCCAGCCTCCAAATTTTCTTTTTTTTGGTACTTACATCCCTAGAAATAATACCCTGACTTGCTGATCACTGGCCTGACCGACCATTCTGTGTCTCTCTGCTCATTCTTTCTTTCTTATTCAAGTTAGTAAACGCTTAATGACTGATCGCCAGGAACTTCTGGGAAACAAAGATAAGGAAGCAAAGCCGCCCCTGAGACAGACTAACTGATTGAAAACAGCGCTGCTTGTTGAGTGTGGGAACCGGAACTAGGGGGTTGGTGAACTCTCAGAGGACACCTGGGCGCGGGTATTGGTAGAACCTAGTTTGCCAGGGGTGAAAGCAATGACCCGAATCAATAGTAAAGTCACTGCTTGCATTGGACTGTGCTGTGTGCTCAGTATTCAGATATGAAGCAGATGAGGGCTTTGTCCTCCGGGTTCACAATCCACGGAAATCAGAGGAGGGGAAGCCTGTGAAGATACAAGAATTGTGTGGAGGAGGGAATGGGGTGATTAATGATGAAAGGGCATGGAAGAGACTAGAGATTTGGGGTTCTAAAGGGGTAGCTTTTGTAATAGAGGCAGGAATCTTCCTCCCAAGAAGGAAGAAGATGGTGATCCCAAGAAAAATTGAGAGGGAGTAGAGTGTGTCAGATATAGCTCAGATGTCAGTGAACATGGAATTTCAGTGTCAGGTAGGGCTGGATTATTAGAGCTTGGCTCTGAAACCTAGCCACACACCCGATGTTCCTGGAAAGTTTTTACAATGCAGCTGAGGCTGGGCCCTACTCCAGGCCTATTAAATCAGAATCTCTTGGGGATGGGGATTCTGCTTAGATATGTTTTGTTTATTGATTTTAGAGAGGAAGGAAGAGGGGGAGAGAGATAGAAACATCAGTGATGAGAGAGAATCATTGATCGGCTGCCTCCTGCACGCCCCACACTGCGGATGGAGCCCGAAACCCCCGAGCAAGTGCCCTGATCTGGATTGAAACTCAGCCACCAAGCCACACCAGCTGGGCTTAAGTATGTTTTAAAAGCGACCCAGTCCTAGCCTGTTTGGCTTAGTGGATAGAGCGTCAGCCTTCGGACTGAAGGGTCCTGGGTTCTATCCGGTCAAGGGCACATGCAGGGGTTTTGGGCTCAGTCCCCAGTAGGGGGCCTGCAAAAGGCAGCCAATCATGATTCTCCCTCATCGTTGATGTTTATCTCTTTCTCCTCCCTTTCTCTCTGAAATCAGCAAAAGTAATATTTAAAAAGAAATAAAAGTGACCCAGAGGATTCTAGCAGGCAGTCAGGGTTAAGAAACCCTGGCTGCCTGCTAGAGTGGAAGAACAGGTAGATTTAGATATTTGGAAGTTAGAGATGAAGAAAAGATTGACCAGAATAACCTGTGTTTATCTTATCTTACGTCCAATTATTCATGTGGGCTTACTTTCTAGCAGTGGGGAAGAGTTAGCCAAATGATTGACATGGTGGATATGTAAGAAGGTTCAAGGAAGCAAGAAATAAATAATGACTATTGTTTCTTGACTGTCTACTACACACCAGGCACTGTACCAAGCATTTTATATACATTACTAGAGGCCCGGTGCACAAAAATTTGTGCACTTGGGGGGTGAGGGGGGTTCCTCAGCCCGGCCTATGCCCTCTTGCAGTCTGGGACCCCTAGGAAGATGTCCACCTGCTGGCTTAGGCCCGCTCCCTGGGGGATCGGGCCCAAGCTGGCAGTCAGACATCCCTCTGGCAGCCGGGAGCCCTTGGGGAATGTCCACTTACCAGCAGGGAGCAGACCTAAGTTGCAGACCTTAGTGCTGCTGAGGAGGCAGGAGAGGCTCCCACCACCACCGCTGTACTGGCAGCCATCAGCCTGGCTTGTGGCTGAGCAGAGCTCCCCCTGTGGGAGCGCACTGACCACCAGGGGACAGCTCCTGCATTGAGCATCTGCCCCCTGGTGGTCAGTGTGTATCATAGTGACCAGTCATTCCCAGTCATTCTGCTGTTAAAGTCAATTTGCATATTACCCTTTTATTATATAGATCTTTCATCCTCGTGGGAACCCTGCAAAACAAGTAGTACTGCCCTGACCAGTTTGACTCAATGGATAGAGCATCGGCCTGCGGACTCAAGGGTCCCAGGTTCGATTCCGGTCAAGGGCATGTGCCTTGGTTGCGGGCACATACCCGGTGGGGAGTGTGCAGGAGGCAGCTGGTCGATGTTTCTAACTCTCTATTCCTCTCCCTTCCTCTCTGTAAAAAATCAATAAAAAATATATTTTAAAACACACACACACACACACAAACAAGTAGTACTTACGTGAGGAGCCAGAGTTCTAGGTGTTAGAATTGGAATAGTGGAGAAGCCTTAGTGGTTAGTAAGTGAGGTGGTTCGTAAGGTAGTTAAGTGGACCTCACAGGAAAGATGTGGGAGGCGGACAGCACATTGAAACTTGGAGGAAGATAGCAAATGATGGATTCAAGAGCAAGATCCTAAGCATGTACTCAAGTCTCTGAAAAGGGTAGGATCTCAGACAGTTGTGGAGGGATTACAGTGGAAGGTGTGAGCTTTGGGGGTGGGGTGGTGTGAGGAGCACAGGATCGGAAGAATTGGGGAGGGAGGAGTGGAATGAGCACTTCCATTTCTGTCTCTGGAGGTCTTGCCAAGGGTTCAGGGATCAAGAAAGTTGGTTTTCAGTTGAATTATTAGTCTTAGGACCCTCTACTCCTCATAATAGGGAATGAAGCTCTAGGCCTCGAGGTCCAGCAAGTAGATACTTGGTGAAAGTCTCTTAAATAGACATCATAATAATGAAAAAAAACATTCAGACCCCTGCCCCTTCCCCATTAATTCTGCCTCACAAGGCTGCTATTAGAAACTTATTAGAGCATTTTTGACCTGTGACTATAAAATGTTATTTATTAGTCATGACTGGATTGATGCTTTAAAAAGTCTCATCTTTGGTGCCAGATCCATGTTCTTTAGTACTTATCAAAGTAACTACCATTGATGGGCCTTTAATTTTTCCTCTGATAGTAGCATTCTATTTTTTTTCCTTCTCTCTCTGTTATGTAATTGATTAGTAATTCTGTATAATTTTTACTTTTTCTCTTTGTATACTAGAAGCTGGGTTTTTTACTTTTTTGCATCTACCTTATAGCTTGTTCATATTTTAGCAATCTTTTTTTTTTCTTTGATGTTTTCTCAGCTAGGAAAATTGCTAACAGGGAAGTAGTTCACAGAGTTACTCTAATGATTCTTATCAAATATTTTAAGTGTCATATATCAATTAAAAGTTTTAAAATTCAACATAGTGACAGTTTTTCTTTTTTAATTGTTATTTCCATTTAAATTTTCTATACTCAGTCTTCAGCAATTTCTTAAAAAATGGTCAATAGTCATTTAAGTGATAACGTTATAGCATACTCCAAGATTAATTTGATGGTTTCTTTATTACATTTTACATTTATAGAGAAAGTTAAAGGAGTAGTTGGATATTTGGCATCCGAAAGTTTTAAGTGTATTTTGGTAACACTGTTATTTGGTTTTGAATGTAACAAGGATGGGAACCACCTGTTCAGGGTGCTACTGAAATCTGTTTCTTACATTTTTAGAGGCTTCGTGACGGAGTGATCAGAGACATTGAGAGGCAAAATCGGAAAAAAGAAAACATTCGTCTTTTGGGAGAACAGATTCTTTTGACTGAACAACTTGAAACCGAAAGAGAGAAGATGTTATTGGCAAAGGATCTCAAATAACATGACTTGAAATGAATGTGAAATATTGATGGGACAGATAGTGTTGAATGTGTATGTGCATGTGAGTGTGTTGATGGAGAATAGCTTAGTAAGATTTTCAACCTTTTTTTGGTCACTGTCCTTTTAAACTCAGTCAAGGAAAAGGACAATGAATTATACTAAATTATTACTTTAAAAGTTCATTATATCTGAGTAGGGAATCGGGCAGACACTCTCCTGACGAGTTTTTGTTTGTGTAATCCTGATAAAGGCCTTTTTTAGCTTGGTCAGAGCTTAGGATTGTTACGAAAGCACTTCTGACCCTCTGAGAAAGAAGGGATGGATAGTAACATCCACCTAGGTAGTTTGATAAGTCGCCATGATGATGAAGCGACAAGAACCTCTACCTCAGAAGGACTGGAGGAGGGTGAAGTGGAGGGGGAGACTCTCCTGATTGTCGAATCGGAGGACCAGGCATCAGTGGACTTGTCTCATGATCAGAGTGGGGATTCCCTCAACAGTGATGAAGGAGATGTGTCCTGGATGGAGGAGCAGCTGTCCTACTTCTGTGACAAATGCCAAAAATGGATACCAGCCAGTAAGGAGCTTCTCGATTCCTTTGATCTGTCAGTTTCTGTGTGTTTGTTTTTCTAACCCATGGGGGGAAAAGAATGTAAAATAGACCTAAATAAAAAGATAATTATTATATTTTTAGTTTAGTTGATTAACTACAAATTTATATAAAACAGACACATTTATACTTATAAAAATTACTGTTGATATTTATCACATTGTTAAAATAAAGTTTTTGATGGTAACCCAATAAAGACTAGAAAATTGGATATCCTGTGTTACTTTAAAAAATTAGCCAGATTTTTCTAATAAGGCTATGTTAAGACTTTGGGGCCCAGTGTAGAATTAAAGTTCAAGTTCATAAAAATTACTCTTAGTATTTAACTTACATGGAAAATTCCTGCTATGGTAGGCTGAAGTAAGGCCAGAATTAGCAGATTAAAGTGTTTTGTGCTCTTTTTTCCTAGGATCATTCTTGTTTTCTCTTGTTGGCCTCTCTGATCTGCTGGCAAGAGATAGATACACACACATGCTCCCCTGATACTTTAATTTTTCAACTCAGTCTTTTCACCTGCTAGCTTCCTAGTTCTCAAGGAAGATATGCTTTGCCAGTCATCATGAGTCTTACCACAACAGGGTTTTCCTGTTAGGCAGAGACTAGTAAAGACGTATGCACTAGACTAGAGGAATTCTTTGTGTAATAGAATTTGTAACTAGGTAATTGTGAAGTGGGTTATTTTCTGGTATATGGAAATGTTTTTGCCAAAGATTCAACTATTCAGATTAATAGTTACTACTAACACATAACTTTTCACAGAAAACAAATCTAGACTTCATTATAGGTAGTTTTTGTTTGTGAGGTGTCTCTTTCTGCTTATTAATTCAGGGTCCTGCCTGAAAATCTCAGCGGCTTTCTCCTTGTCCTGACGGTATACATCTTAACCTGCCCTTTACGATTATGCCCCTGCTAACTTCTTTAGCCTCTCTCTCTAGTATCCTATTATCCTCACACATAAACAGACCTTTGCTGTTAGGGTGAGCTTTTAATTCTCTACAAACAAGTCTCTCTCATCCCTGTGACTCAGCACATTTTAATTTTCTTTCTGGAATATTCATCTCTAGTCTCCATGCCCTTCCCCCCCCCCCCCACACACACACAAGCACCTCTCTTCCTCTGGCTAATTCTAGTCATCCTATAGAACCCACTTTTTCTAGCTCTCCTATCTTCCCAGTATGGGCCGGGCATTCCTTTTATGTGCCCTCACATTGCCCTTACTACTGCAGTGGTTTTCATGTCTTCCAGAGCATGTGTCACTTTAAAAAATGCAGACCCCGGCTCCACTTCAGAGATTGATTTATTTCATGTGGGGTAAGCCAAGACATTAAAACAAAACCATTCTGATGTACAGTGAGGATGGAGAACCACTGTGCTGTTGTGATTACCTATTTCCTCATGTTTCCCCTACAGAATTTGTAAACTGAGAGCAGTTACTATGCCTGTCTTGGGCATAGTATTCCCAGTACCTAGCCCAGTGCCTGATACTCGGTGGGAGCTAAGGTATTTTTTGAAAGACTGTGTGAAGAGACCTGTAGGAGTCTGGAATGTTAACAGTTGGAAAATCTAGTGAGCAATAATAACTGCTTTTTCCAATATCTTTCTTCTAAAAGTTGGGAACCAATGATCTTCATGGGAATACATTGATGTTGGAAGAATAAAAATCTCTATTCCCTTCCCTGCCTCCTTCTATCATGAACTGGCTGAAATAAAGGAAAAACAGTATGGGAAACTTAAAATCTGATTGCTAAATGAATTAAACCTTTGAGTTACCCTCTTCTTAGATAAACCTATGATATACTTTTTTGTTTTTCTCCTAGGTCAGCTGAGGGAACAGCTCAGTTACCTTAAGGGTGATAATTTCTTTAGGTTTACTTGTTCCGATTGCTCAGAAGATGGCAAGGAGCAGTATGAAAGGCTGAAGCTAACATGGCAGCAAGTGAGTAAAGGCTCTTCCTATAGAATTCAGGAGGTTGGTCCTCCAAGGAATTTATTGGAATATCTACAAAAAGAGGAACTTATATGAGATTTTGAGCTGTTTGGAGGGTCACTTTTTATTTCCCCATCAAAATTATATATTGAATGTGTGGAGAAAGGAGTTCTTGGACGGGACTCACTGCTAACTTTGAATTGGGTTTGAGATTCTTAAAAACTTCACACACGATATCATTTTTATCTATAATACTAAATTTTGATTTTAATTGAAAATGAGGGTCACATTTTTCTGGCAGCCTTTTCTTGAACAATGAAACCATTTTAAAAATTGTAAAGATGGGCACATAGGAAATAAATTTGGAAGACATGGTTGATTGCAGAAACCAACATAATCCACTTTTCTGCATTTGAATGCAAACCTATATGAATATTTTTTGTTTGATGAATACTTATGTCTGCTTTTTAAAAAATCCTCACCCTATTAATTTAGACAGGAAGGGAGAGAGAGAATCATCAATCTGTTGCCTCCCGCATCTTAACTGGCGATCAAACCCACACAATCTAGGTATGTGCCCTGACTGGGAATTGAACCCACAATCTTTTGGTGCCCAGGACAGCACTCCAGTCAACAGCCACCCGGCCAGGGCCCTATGTCTACTTTTAACCATCTTCAGTACCAATACCATAATCCAACTATATAGTCTGAATAATAGCTTTTTATTGATCTTTGGTTATATTAATTTTTTGGTTTGTTTTTATATTAATACTAGTATATCTATAGTAGGCACAATGTACATATAGTCTTTAAGCTCTAAAAATGAATGAATTATGCATATTTTATGTTTATTGATTCAACAAATTTTGAGTGCGTGGAAACTACTGTGATGAACAAGACAGCTATAAACCCTGCCCCTGGTGTGACATTCTAGACATTTATTTTAGATTGTAAGCAGACAAATAAGTTAGTTACCCATAGCCCTTTTTTGCTGTGAAGGAAATGAACAGGGTAATGAGAAAAATTGTAGATTATACCATCTAGGCCACTTCAGGTGTTCCTTGTAAATTGTAGTTGCTTTAGCAGCCTTAGATGTCTTAGTTATCAGAGCTTTATTAGATAGCTCGTCATGAAATCTGTCATTGCTGAATGGAGAGAGTGAGTCTTTGACTTATCTGAAAATGTTTGAGTAGAAAATGAAGTTTGTATTGAGGATATAGTTTCATGAATATTGTAATTCCAATATTTTTCTCGAAGCATACATGAGATCTGCCTCTATCCAAGGTCAGGTTAATATTAATAGGTTATTCTGATGTGTGCATATGTAGGCAGATTTGCATTTGCCTGCAGGTAGCTTTTCAAAAGCTATAATATGGAAGAGAAAATATATGTATTTTTGTTATTTTCAAGAATGTGAGTTTTCTGTGAAGGTTCTTTTTAAAAGAAAAAGTAGTTTTTTATTGTATTGCTCAGAATATGTAATATTGGCTCAGTTTGCACATTTAGTTAAACTAACATCCCTTGAAAATTATTTTTTACTTCCAAAGACACATTGATGGTAGATAATACTGGTCTGATTAAATCATAACTTAGATCAGACACATCTGGTTCTTGGCAAGCTACTGATCAGTGTTTCTGTTGCATCTTAAAAACTCAGTCTCATTAAAGAGCTGAAAGAGACTCAGTTGATCTTGAGTAGATTCCATTGATGCCACCAAATACTGGTTATAGATATATTGGAATGTGAATTTTCTCTGTGTTTTTTTAAATCTTAAACTTTGTATTTGTTGATTTATCAAAGGAATAAATAGAAATGCTTGCTTGTATTACAAAATACCAACAGAAGTCTGGTCTCCTGACTAAAAGGCCTCTTTCTCCCATGCCCTCTTTCTCTCTCCTGCCCTCCTCTTTGGTGGCTTCTGAACAACAGTTTGAAATGCAGGAGAAATTTTATCATGTGCTTGGGAAGGAGAGTGTATTTTTTACATTCTTGTCCTGGACAGTTATCCTTACCTTGCAGGTAAAGAAAGAGACCATGTTGGTTTTTCAAGATGCTTGTGAAGTGCCTGCTGTGGCTGTGCCAGCCCTGGGCTAAGCCCTGGGATGCACTGATTCACAGGGCTAGCTTGGTCTGAGAGTGGGAGAGCAGAAAATTGAACTGGGATTCATTCTTTTAGATTATAAATTCCAGGACAGGAGGAAAACTATGTCCTTTATATATTGAATTTGTAGTTTCCTCAGAAAATATTGTGATAATAGATAAAAGTTGTTTTCAAGTAAGTATGTGAATTTTAACTTTTTAAAGTCATGAAATGTTTCATATATTAAAAAAAATAGTATCAGAAGTAAGTAAATTAATAGATACTTCTGTATTTACCACTGAGATTAACAGTGAATACTGTTTCTGGGTTACTCTGGGAGTCTGAGAGCGGCCAGAAGTTCACTTCATTCTTTCCTTAAAGTATTTCTTGAACAGTAACTTTTAAAAATTGAGGTAATATATACATAGCGTAAACGTTTAAAGTTTTAAGCATTTTTAAGTGTACAATTCAGTGGTATGAAGTATATTCACATTGTTTGGCAATCATCACCACTATCCATTTCCAGAATTTTCTTTTTTTTTAAATTAAATCTTTATTGTTCAGATTATTACAGTTGTTCCTCTTTTTTCCCCCCATAGCTCCCCTCCACCCGGTTCCCACCCAACCCTCTGCCCTTACCCCGCACCCCCCCCCCCCCCACTGTCCTCATCCGTAGGTGCACGATTTTTGTCCAGTCTCTTCCCGCATCTCCCACATCTGAATTATGGCACCCCCATAATTCAGATGTTGGTACGCTTGAAGTTGTCCCAGAGGCTCCTTACACTATCTTCATATTTTTGGATTCTTTTTTCTTTTTGTTTTTCCGGTTGGGTGTTTTTTGCTTCGTATTTCAAATCTTTGACTTGATTCTTGCAATCCTCTAGTCTGCTGTTGGTACTCTGTATAATATTCTCTATTTCAGTCAGTGTATGCTTAACACATTGTATGTGGGAAACGTATTTATACGTTTATCCGAACTCTTTATCCGAGTTCCTTTCTTGCTCCAATTTTTGGAGTTGCTGTATGTCTAATTTATCAGATTGCAACTTCGTTTCCAAAGGGATGGCCATTGTGATTTTAATTTATTTCCTAACTATTGTCAAAAGTCACCGATTTTGAGGAAAGGGTTTTGAGTCAGCTGCCCAAAGAATTGGAATCTGGTAATGAAAATAGCAGAAGACTTCATTGGGAAGCTTATGGAAGGCTCAACTCACATTTAAGAAAGTCCTTTCCTTTCAAGTCTGAAGTTTGGGGCTCACAACCTATTTTTCCCCCTCTTCTACCCTAATTTTTTTAAAATTGAATTTATTGGGGTGATATTGGTTAATAAAAATTATATAGGTTTCAGGTGTACAGTTCTACAATACATCATCTGTGTATGGTATTCTGTGTTACCACCCCAGGTCAAGTCTCCTTCCATCACCATTTATCCCATCTTCTACCCTTTCCCCCACAAGAATAGTCAGTCCACTCCTTTTCTATGCCCCTGATTCTATTATAATTACTAGTTCATTCTGTTCATCAGATTATTTATTCACTTGATTGTTAGATTCACTTGTTGATAGATGTGTATTTGTTGTTCATAATTTGTATCTTTACCTTTTTCTTCTTCTTCCTCTTCTTAAAGGATACCTTTCAGCATTTCATATAATACTGGTTTGGTGGTGATGAACTTCTTTAGCTTTTTTTTTATCTGTGAAGCTCTTTATCTGACCTTCAATTCTGAATGATAGCTTTTCTGGGTAAAGTAATATTGGTTGTAGGTTCTTGGTATTCATCACCTTGAATATTTCTTGCCACTCCCTTCTGGCCTGCAAAGTTTCTGTTGAGAAATCAGCTGACAGTCATATGGGTATTCCCTTGTAGGTAACTGAGTTTCTTTCTCTTGCTGCTTTTAAGATTCTCTCTTTGTCTTTTGCTCTTGGCATTTTAATGATGTGTCTTGGTGTGGTCCTCTTTGGATTCCTTTTGTTTGGGGTTCTCTGCACTTCCTGGACTTGTAAGTCTATTTCTTTCACCAGGTGGGGGAAGTTTTCTGTCATTATTTCTTCAAATAGGTTTTCAATATCTTGCTCTCTCTCTTCTTCTGGCACCCCCATAATTCAGATGTTGGTATGCTTGAAGTTGTCCCAGAGGCTCCTTACACTATCTTCATATTTTTGGATTCTTTTTTCTTTTTCTTTTTCTTTTTTTTTTTAAAATTAAATCTTTATTGTTCAGATTATTACATTTGTTCCTCTTTTTTCCCCCCCATAACTCCCTCCTCCCAGTTCCCGCCCCACCCTCCGCCCTCACTCCCCACCCACTGTCCTCATCCATAGGTGCACGATTTTTGTCCAGTCTCTTCCCGCATCTCCCACACCCCTTTCCCCCCCAAGAATAGTCAGTCCATTCCCTTTCTATGTCCCTGATTCTATTATAATCACCAGTTCATTCTGTTCATCAGATTATTTATTCACTTGATTCTTAGATTCACTTGTTGATAGATGTATATTTGTTGTTCATAATTTGTATCTTTACCTTTTTCTTCCTCTTCCTCTTCTTAAAGGATACCTTTCAGCATTTCATATAATCCTGGTTTGGTGGTGATGAACTCCTTAGCTTTTCCTTATCTGTGAAGCTCTTTATCTGACCTTCAATTCTGAATGATAGCTTTGCTGGGTAAAGTAATCTTGGTTGTAGGTTCTTGGTATTCATCACTTTGAATATTTCTTGCCACTCCCTTCTGGCCTGCAAAGTTTCTGTTGAGAAATCAGCTGACAGTCGTATGGGTATTCCCTTGTAGGTAACTGAGTTTCTTTCTCTTGCTGTTTTTAAGATTCTCTCTTTATCTTTTGCTCTTGGCATTTTAATTATGATGTGTCTTGGTGTGGACCTCTTTGGATTCCTTTTGTTTGGGGTTCTCCGCGCTTCTTGGACCTGTAAGTC